ACATTTTTGATACAAAAAAAAAAAAAGAAATAATTAATTTAATATCATTAAAATCTTTCCTGTTACACAGAAATCTCATTGAATATGAAGGAAAATGTTATATGTACGAATGTATTGATAAATAATATCAATTTCTTTACATGAAATTAACGAATAAAGAGAGAGAAAAAAGTACATTATACAAATATTAAGTTTTCTATTACCTCATCAAAGAATAATTTGATTTGCGTTTATATGAATAATTCAAAAGAAAGAGAAAAAAAGAGGGGGAGAGAGAGAGAACAAGAACAATTCACATACATCGATTAGAAGGTCATTTCACACAGATCATGGGTAATATTGTAACACCAGACCAAGGTTTACTACCATTACCATCTTATAGTGGTGTAATAACGTAAGTAAATTATCTGAAAATCTTCATTATTAATTAATTTAAACCATAGTCCTTATCCATGGTGGCTTAATGCAGCATTAGCTATTTGGGCTCTATTAGCTTTACTCTGTTGTTGGTGTTTATTACTTCTATATCTTTTACGATACTGTTGTAAATGGTGGCGTCACCGACAATATGCAGCTGATGTAATTATTTGTTTTTTTTTCCTAAACAAAAGAAAAACATACTTTCTATGTAGCGTGCATCATTACGTGAACGATTTTTTGGTGGAGGTGGTGCTAAAGGTCGAAATGATATATATGCTACACAGGAACATTTTGCTACAGCACCACTACCACCTGTTCCTCCGTATGCAGTTAGTAATGGAAATGATGTTACTTTTCGAGATATGTACGAAGGTTCAATGCCTTATGTAACAGCAGGTCGTGCAATGGAATCCGATTCAGTAGCTTATTCTGATGGAGGTGTCGTAGAAAATGTTGAAACAAATGTTCATCGTAAAATTACGAAGAATTATTATATTAATGAAGAAAAAAATTATTTTATACAAAATGAACCAAAAGTTGAAATAGAAGAATCTTCACATAATCAAGAAGTACAACGACTTCCAGGACCAACTGTAACAACAATTAATATGGCAGCTGAACGAATTACTGATAATCCAAGTAAATATTCATTTGATTTAATTTTCTTGAAGAATTACCTTTTAATATAGATTGGGAAAATGCAAATGCGAAAGAAGTTTTTAATGAACAACAACCTAAAAAAGCTTCGGCAGAAATTGTATCTCATGATTCATCAGTAACTAAACAAGAAGTTAAATATGAAAGTCCACCTGATATTTACACACATCGAGCTGAAACTCCTGTTGTTCAAAATCGATCATTAGCAGCACAAGAATCTGTACTATCAGAAGATGGTTCAATAACAAGTGAAATGAGTGGACATGATTCAGAATCAATTTATGAAACAATACGTGTATTTACACCAAAAAAACAAAGTCAATCAATTCTATTAACATCTATATTAAATCATCATTTATTTTTTCTTTCTATTCTTTATAGGTTTAGCACCATTAGAAGATGAAGACGAAGATGAAGATGAATATAAAACAGCTGGTATTGATGAAGTTGAATTTGAAGTAAAAGATCTTGTTCGTTTACAAAGAGCACATGCACGAAATGGTGGTGATTCATATGATGATATTTTAACATCACATGATATATCTCATCATGATTTAAAACCTCAGCATTCATCATCAATATCTTCTTCATCAACATTAAATAATTTAGTAGCAAGAGATTCTCAACCAGAACAAATAAATATTGGTTCCGGTGAAGAAGAAACTGTTACACAAACAGTTCAAACTCAACAAATTCAAACAACATTTCGTCAAATAGGACAACATCTTGGTGAGAGTGCGTTCTTTGTTCCACTTTCATCAGCAATTACATACAATGAAGGCGGACAACAACATGATGAGAGCAAAATTGCCGTTCCAATTTCAACAACAACAACAACTGTTGAATATGACGAACATCCAGCATTACAACATTTCTAATAATATTTGGGGCTAAAACATTTAATACATATGTTGCATAAGTTTGTTTTCTAATTTTATCATAAATAAAATAAAAGTACAAAGGAAACATGTGTGATTAATAGCCATTAAATACAGTCAGAGGAATCCTATATAAACAAACGAAAAATGGATATTTCTTATTTTTTTTGAAAACAAGGCGAAATATAACAATGCAATATTTTATTTTGGCTCTTATTGTGTTTGGTTGTGCGTGTAACCATTCTATGGTGACAGGAGGTCCAATGGTGAATGCCAGGGAAACAGAAACTTCACCGGAAACATCACAGGTCTATCCAACTGCACTACTTGCACGAAATTCACCCGATGCAAAACCTGTACGTGTTATTCATTCACCAATTTTATCAGCACGTAAACATGGCGATGAATCGAACACACCCGAAACTGGTCTCTTACGAAAACCAGTTGAAATCAATGATGAGCATTTGAAACATTCATCAGTTATGCCAGTAGTAATACCGATTCGCAAACCTAATAATTCATCGACGCATAAAAAAGGAATGTCCCATAACAAATCAAGCGGAGAAAACACTATCGGTAATAGAATTATTTCTTTTCTTGCTTAAATTATCATGAAACTATTTTAGTAAACTGTGCACATGTTGAATGCCCAGCCATTCTTTGTCAAAACAGTTTACCAGCAGTACCTAGTCAAGGAATTTGTTGTCCACGATGTCCTAGTAAGTATTTCATTTAGTTAATCTATGAATCGATTGAAATATATTTCTGTTTTACTTATAGCGAATACAAAATGCAATAAGACTGCATGTCCCAAATATAAATGTGCTACTTATCTTGTTCCAGCTAATATAACAGCTGGTGAATGTTGCGATCATTGTGCACCACTCAGCGCTACAACTACTACTGTTGCAACAAAGAAACACGCAATGCCTCATCGACCATCTTCAAAATCCTTATCTGAAGGAAAAGGTGCCAGCAAAACAAAACATGATGAAACACATAACCGTGATATGGGTGAATTTCATCGAGAAGCAGATCGACCATCTTCAAAATCCTTATCTGAAGGAAAAGGTGCCAACAAAACAAAACATGATGAAACACATAAGCGTGATATGGAAGAATTTCATCGAGAAGCAGATCGACCATCTTCAAAATCTTTATCCGAAGGAAAAGGTCCCAAGAAAACAAAACATGATGAAACACATAGACGTGATATGGATGAATTTCATCGAAAAGCAGATCGACCATCTTCAAAATCCTTATCCGAAGGAAAAGGTGCCAACAAAACAAAACATGATGAAACACATGAACGTGATATGGGTGAATTTCATCGAGAGGCAGATCGACATTGTAAGTTTAATTTTAAGATTTTCTTAAATAAATAAAAACTATGATTTTAATAGATGTAAAATTGGTTCGTTTATTAACTAAAATGTTGGGTCGTCTTGGTTGTACGTATCTTCTTTATTTTATAAGAAAAACAAATCAAATAATTTTTATTTTTTATTTCTATAGATCTTAATCCACGCCATCATCATAAGCATCATACTGAATCAGATGATCAATAATTATTTTATTCTTTTCCTTTCCATCAAAAATATAAGTGAAATTTTATTTCCTTATCATACAATAAAAGAATAATTCAGCCAATCTTTGGCTAATACATTAAAAAATTGCTATGATATAGATGTTCGATGTCTTTTAGTTCTTTGAATGATCTCATTATTGCTCACAGTTGAAATTGGTCGTTTGCCAATGTGAATTACTATAACAGAAAAAAAAATAATATTTCAATGTATTATTTAAAAAACACAATTTTACTTGGAAGATGAAAACTTTGTTCAGAATTGTCAGTAATTGGTAAAAGAAAAAGGCCATCAATTGAATTCTTAAAGGAGTTTATTGAGTTTTGATCTTTTGCTTCGAATGACGAGCGTTGAATCTGACTATCATGAATACTGTAGTTAGAAGAATTTCTTCGTACAAAATTTATTCCATGATCATATGAAACATAATTAATAGTTTCATATTGACCTTAATACAAAGAATACATATTTATGAATTAGATATGTATTTTTGTCATCAACACACTTTGAATTTCTGGATAGAATGGAATTTGCAATTTATTCGTATTCAAAGGTTCTAAAAAAAGAACAACAATTATGCATTTATATTAACTATAAATAAATATTTTTTACCATTAATATGTCTATTGATTTCTATTGGTTGTTCGAGACGTACTGGTATGTTTGTTGCTAAACATAGAATATTTTTTTCTATCGAATACATATGGAGATTCTAATTTATTTTACCAAGAGGGAGATCTGATGGTTGACAGTCACCTGTGGGTACAAGCCCATCGTCTTCATTTAATTCGTTCATGACTAGCTTTGTTTATATGAAATTCACAGAATTAATTTAAATATTATTCCTTTTACTAGCGCTTCATCATCTAAAATATGAAATCGAATATATATATATATATAGTTTTTTGTTTGGTTGTTTTTCGATTATGACACATTTTTTTCCGTTCTTCGTCTAATACAATTCTATACCTATATCGATAATAATCAAGATAATGACGTCAAATGAATGCATGTCAACATGAAAATATATAAATAAGCAGCCACTGTATCGATATTTCGATGAAATAACAAGATTTAATTTATCTTGACTCACTATACACTATAATAAATGATAAAAAAACCTATTTTTACCTGCTTAGAATATAATTCTATGGTGTAATTACAATATTTGTCGTCTGTGTCATAAAATATGAAAGGGAAAAGGTAATAAAGAAAAATTAAGATGTATTTTATCATTGACTCATTCAACTTTTCTAAGGGACACATAAATTAGTATATACATCACCAATAGGATAAAAATGACATTGATGATATTAGAACTATAATGAGTTGTTTTCGTTTTATTTTTTTCTGTTCCTCTATTAAACAACAATCAGACATACACGTGCGTTTATCAACATAAAGGTAATCGATCGTGAAAAACGCCCTTATTTGAATAAAGAGTATGAGTCAAAAACTACACTTATTTTGACATACTCTATATCTTGCATGAATAAAAGACGGTCATTGATATGGCTAAATAATCATAAATTATGTCGGTGTTCAGCGAGACAGAATGCTTTTAAGTATGACATCATTATATTGTTTACTTGTTCACAAGATTGTATTAAATTAAGCAAGATATACTGATTCTAGAAATCATAAACCTTTTTGCAATCATCTGTGATGATACCTAATTTATGTAAAGGTGTTTAATAAAGGCTCTATTTAGTTAGTTGAAAGAGAAATGATACGGGTATAGAAGATAAATAAAAGATAATTTCGATATTTATCATACTTACACGTGTAGAAAAGAATAAGAAAAACATATTTTGTATATTGTCAGTGGCTTGCATACGTCCACTGAATTGATCTTTTACTTATATCAACTAATTTCTTACATCCATTTGCAATGGCTGATGCTCAATTATTGGACCGCTTGTTAACTGTCATTGAACAGGATATTCTGCCTAAAACTCGAATTGGTGTTACACAAGGTAACAAGATTTTTGGTGCGGCTATCTTAAAAAAATCTGATTTTACTGTTGTTATCGCTGAAACTAACAATGAAGTAGAAAATCCACTTTGGCATGGTGAAATGCATGCTATCAAGAAATTTTATGAAACAGAAGATCGATCTACTCTTCCTAATCCGAAAGATTGTATCTTTCTTGCTACACATGAACCTTGTTCTCTGTGTTTATCGGCTATAACATGGGGTGGTTACGATAATTTTTATTATCTATTCAGTCATGAAAATAGTCGTGATAATTTCAACATACCACATGATATTAAAATTTTAAAAGAAGTTTTTGGTAATGCTGAACGTAATGATCAACCACTTTATAATCGAACTAATGCATTTTGGCATAGTCACAGTATTATAGAAATGATCAACAACCTTGATAAATGTAGTCGTGATCGTGAATTACTTCTTGCTCGAGTAAATGAAATTACCAAACTTTATGCTGATCTATCAACTGTCTATCAAGCAAACAAAGGCAAAGCCGGTATTCCTTTAGATTGATACTTCTTGCAATTATCATGTTTTTTTGTACAACATTCGTTTATATAATTCAGTATTTTTTTCATTTCAGAAACTTGTAAATATGAAGATTATTTCGCTCTTTTCTTAAATAAATTTATATGACTAATATTGAACTTTTGCAAACTTCATTCATTAATAGCATTCCTGTTTGTTTTTTTTTTATAAATTTATAATGTAACTAAGAACAAGTTTTTTGCTATTACTTGTTCTGAAAACTACTAAATTCAATTTATTTATTTTTAATTATTATTATATGGCCCTCATAATTAACAATTGGTAAGGTTAAACATCATAGATGAAATCAATATATTGTATTTTAATCCTTGGGCTTTTAATAAATCGTATCATGAATTTCAAATCATAACTATTCTACTATTTGATCGATGGACTAAGTTATTTAGACTAAAAGAAGCGTTACATCGAGTGACTACTACCTAAACTTCTCATTTCTAACAGTCGAATATTGTGCCTTTTATGTTAGAATTACTGCACTATATATACGATCACAAGAGAGAGAGGTATAGCATTAGAGAGAATAATGTAGAAGAAGAGAGAAATATATAATAGCAGAGAGATATGTACCCGTAGAAAGAGACACATGGTGCTAGATATATATATATTATACGAGGGAAAGATAGATAGTACTACAGAGAGAGAGAGAATGAATACAGAATAACGCATGTTTGTTATACGTCTGTCGAAAGATATACGTACAGAAAAAGTGTATATAAGAAGAATGGTGGCGATCATAACGTCTTGTTTTTATTCCGATTACTAACTATTATTATTACTGTATTTTCACGGTTTCGTCTGATCATAAAATCATTTTTGTAAATCCAGATAGGATTTTGAAGCTTATTCTATATAAATCTAAACTTCGATGAAAGTTTTCTCTTCAAATCTTGTACATTAAATGACTAGTAACCATGTAAAAAGACGAAATTCTGTCTCAATGCATTCTACTATATATTTTTATAATACTACTACCTTATATACAAAAATGTGAAAGTATTTTATCGTTAGTAAAGAAAAAAAAGCAAAAAAATTCAAACTTTCTTCTAGTCAACATTTCTCGTTATACACATGTGTATATATAGAGAAAGAGAAAAAAAGAAAAAAACGGTATATGTTGTTCTTTTTATTCGATAAGTAACCGTTGTCGAATCAACGAGTAGTACAGCTGCCTCTTAAATTTATTTATGTAGGTATAATGATGAATAATATGAAGTAAGGTGAAATCTCTTTCATTTTTACAATACACATGTGCACGCATATTTTTATCGACCCTTTTCTTGTGTTCGTTGCTTTGTTAACTTCAGTTGACCCCTACCTCTACAAGAGTTTTCTTTCTTTCTATTCTTCTAAAAGGATGATTCATTACATTTAATGTTTTTTCTTATATACCCAAATTCGAAATTTGAAAAGAAAAATCGAGTTTACTATTCGCCAATAATCAAGCAATCCATTCAGATCAAAAACTTTCGAAATTAAAATGGAGGCAGAATAAAAATACGTTTAACTACATTTGGATGACCTTACCATCGAGTACTTTTCGATAAATTATTGTTTTTTTCAAAGAGTAACAAAAGTTATATTAGAGATATTTTTGACTTTAAAAAATAAAAAATCGAAATTGGATCTCGAAAATTATTTTTGTAATTAAATTTTGATATGTGAGGCTTTTTAAACAAGATTAAAAGATTTAAATTTCGTCGTAGAATTTGGATTATAAAAATTGATAATTTGTTGTACATGTCGAAAGAATGATGTAAAATATTAATATTTTCGAATTTTATTCGTTTGTATTCAATCCATTTCACTACTCATCGGATTATATATTAGCTAAAGAAAAATTTCACCAATTGTCAAGTACTTTATAACACAAGTTTTATTTTATTTTCTGAAACTAAGACATGATTTATTTTAATAGTTGGTTCAAGTCATTCAAAAATACAAAATCGAGAACAATGTAGCTTATTTTTACTGTGCATTTTGCATTCAACAAATACTGGTCATTATATGTTTTTCGTCCGTAAATATCGCTAGTTTAAAGTTCGATATAAAAATAATTTCACGATAAAATACAAATATACTTTTTACAATACATAGATAGAAGATATTGCAAAAATAAAAAACATACACTGATGTACAATTCAATGCGTGATTATATTAATAATTTGAATTCTACTATCACATATAGTGAAGAGAATGGTCGTTCATAAATAAATGGCGTTCTCTTTATTGCTTTAACCTAACCAGAAAAAGTTGGTTACATATAAAAATAAAAAACTGTATGACAATATCATTACATACCAATGAGTTATTCTCCAACTTGTGAAAACTGAGAGAAGAATGTTGTTATTCAAAAGCAGAAAGTATATTTTACAGATAATTTCACAAATTATAAAGTTATGTTCTTTATGCAAATGTTTTATAAGATAATATCTAATAGTTTTCAGAAATCAGTTTTAGTCGAATATAAACTACTTCTCAAAGATAACACAAACATATTGATTATTAAAAAAATGAACTCTGACTCAACATAAAATTTCAAATGTACATGATCAATTTGTTTTCTTTATTTATTGATTTCTTCAAAATAGATAAATAGAAGTATTATAATTTAATTTTTTTGTTTTCGAAATTGGATGATATTAAAATGTCTTCAATAGATTCTTCTCATATATATGTAGATACTTGTTAATGCACTTTCTAAAACGAACAATTATTTGTGAAACTGATAAGTTAAAAATAAATATGTGAATGTCTATCACAGAAGATTGTAACGGAATCAAGAATATGTAAAACTTTACAAAAGTTTATACTTGATTATCATTCAGTGACAAATACATGAGAATGTTCAATTAGATGATTGCATTATAGTTTATTTATTTATTTCAAACATACGATTAGCCTGGAAACAAATAATACGTAAAGGAACATTTATAAATTTTATTTATTTTAAAAGTATATCAGTACTGGTATTTTTCTTTTGGTTTACCTGAATGTGTCTAGTTTGTTGATCTTTCATGTTTCTGATAACATTATGTAAGCTATAGGACATGCATACATATCGTCTTTGACTTATGAAAATAAAAAGAAGATAAAAAGAACAACCGATAACAGATTTAATAATTAAATGTTTATTTTTCCTCATTGTTCCAACAGAAAATTTTTATTAAAATTTTTATTATTGTTCTGGTATTTTTGTCATATTGTACAGTAATCATTTGTCTCGACACAAAAATAATTGTAAATTTCCATCATTCTGTAATAATGATTGAAAAGAACAATAAAACTCTCTTTAGAGATTTTCTGTAAGGACAAATATTTTAAGAACTATATGTCTCGCAAATTATTTTCTTGAATTGTCAACGATGACCATACTTTAACGTTCTTTTCGTTTATAGGTAGCTGATAACTATCTCTGATGATACCTGTAACATTATGTGACGTATATTTAACGAACATGAAAGAACCAAGCGAAATACTGATAATAGAGAAAACAATGTAAATGATAATAAAAAGAACAATCTCGAAAGAAAATTCCTATACTATAAAATGACACATTATTCTCATTCATTTATAAACATTTCTTGAAGCAATTTACATTAATATCACTACAAAAAATAATGGGCAACAATTGCACATTAAGAAGATCTGTTCGAATTCATCCACAAGCTAATGCTAATCACGTATCAAGCGTTTCCAAAGATGCAGTTATAAATCGACGTATGGACATGCAAAAAATGCAAAATGTCATCCTTATTTGGTTGGATAACAAGATTGATGATGATGATAATGCTGATTGTAATAATACAATCGAACAATTAAAATGTGAATTTAACAACATAAACACGTTCACGAATCGTGTCCGGTGTATTGAATTTATTAAAACCATGAAAAACAACAAAGTATATATAATTGTTTCTGGTTCACTTGGGAAATATACTGTGCCTCATGTGCATGATATGTCCCAAGTAGATACCATTTTTATTTTTTGTAACAAGCAAGGACAATATATACAATGGGCCAAAGAATGGCCGAAAATAAAAGGAGTCTTCACAGATATAACATCCATCTGTGAAGCCCTTAAACGAGTTGTTTATCAATGTGAGCAAGATGACATCCCAATCAGCTTTGTGGCATCAAACAAGAAATTGGATCAATTAGATCCATCGTTTATGTATACTCAGATCTTGAAAGAGATCTTAGTAACCATCAACTTCGAAGATAAACATTTCAAAGAATTTATTACTCATTGTCGTGATATATATGCTGATAATGAGCATGATTTACATAATATCGAAAAATTGGAACGTGAATATCATGATCGAAGACCTATTTGGTGGTATACTTATCAATATTTTTTATGTTCTATGCTCAATCAAGCATTAAGATCAATGGATGTTGATATGATTCTTAGAATGGGTTTCTTTATCAAGGATCTATATCGTGACATTCAACGACTACATTCAGTACAATCTGATAATCATCAACCAGATGAAACATTTACAGTTTATCGTGGACAAGGTCTTCCGAAAGACGATTTCACCGAAATGAAAAAAGCTAAAGGTGGACTTCTTTCATTTAATAACTTTTTATCAACTAGTAAAAATCGTGATGTTTCTCTCTGTTTCGCACCACAAGTTCCTACAAATCTTGATCTTGTTGGAATTCTATTTGTTATATCATGTAATCCTACTCATTCAACAACTCCATTTGCTTCTATTAGCGATGTTAGTTATTTTCAAATAGAAAATGAAGTTCTCTTCTCTATGCATACCATTTTTCGCATTAGAGATATTAAACCAATGGATGAAAAGAACCATCTCTATCAAGTGAATTTAATATTGACCAATGACAAAGATCAAGACCTTCGTACTCTTACTGACAGTATCCGACAAGAGATCTTTCCAGATGTAGAAGGATGGTATAGATTAGGATTATTGCTAATTAAAATGGGTCAGTCTGACAAGGCTCAAGAAGTATATGGAGTTTTACTTCATCAAACAACGAATGAAAGTGAGAAGGCACCTATTTATAATCAACTAGGTATGATCAAAGATGACCAAGGCAAATATTCAGAAGCACTTACATATTATGAAAAAGCCCTTGAAATTCGGCAACAATCACTTCCTTTCAATCATCCTGATTTGGGTGATTCTTATAACAACATCGGTTTGGTGTATTGCAACATGGGTGATTATCCAAAAGCATTTTCATCTCATGAAAAAGCTCTCGCAATTCGACAACAGTCACTTTCTTTCAATCATTCTAATTTGGGTGCTTCCTATAACAACATCGGTAGTGTGTATGATAGGATGGGTGATTATCCAAAAGCACTTTCATCTCATGAAAAAGCCCTTGAAATTCGGCAACAATCACTTCCGTCCAATCATCCTGATTTGGGTGATTCTTATAACAACATCGGTTTGGTGTATTGCAACATGGGAGATTATCCAAAAGCACTTTCATCTCATGAAAAAGCCCTTGCAATTCGACAACAATCACTTGTGTCCAATCATCCCGATTTGGGTATGTCCTATAACAACATCGGTATTGTGTACAAGAACCTGAGTGATTATTCAAAAGCACTTTCTTATTATGAGAAAGCCCTTACAATCAAACAACAATCACTTCCTTCCAATCATTCTAATTTGGGTGCTTCTTATAACAACATCGGTAGTGTGTATGATAGCATGGGTGATTATCCAAAAGCACTTTCATCTCATGGAAAAGCCCTTGCAATTCGACAGCAATCATTTCCTTCCAATCATCCTGATTTGGGTGGTTCCTACAACAACATCGGTATTGTGTACAAGAACATGGGTGATTATCCAAAAGCACTATCTTATTATGAGAAAGCCCTTACAATCAAACAACAATCACTTTCGTCCAATCATCCTGATTTGGGTGCTTCCTATAACAACATCGGTAATGTGTATGAAAATATGGGCAACTATGCAAAAGCTCATTCATTCTATGAACGTGCTGTACAAAATGGACAACAATCATTAACATCAAATCATCCTAGACTTCTAAAATGGAGAAAAAACGTCGAACGCATGAAAAAGAAATTATAATTTCTTTCTGTATTTTTATTGAAAGTAAAATAAAACTGATGAAAAAGAAAATGTGTCTTTATTAAAACTCTGTTCTTATTGAGAACACAATATGAGCAGTGACACTCACCGGTAAGATAAACAATACATATTGAAAAGATATGTATTCTAGAAAAGACCTTTGGGGTTACATTATTATGTATGAACAAATAGAGTTTCGTTGTGTTAAATAAAAAAGAAAGATATTCAACAACAAAAACATAGAAGAATAGAAAAAGTTTATTTTATCGATAGAATGAATTATTCTTTTTGTTTCAATATTATACAATAGTTAAAACCATTGATAAACTCAGCCATATTAAATGAATAGAATACCTGTATATATATACACATATAATAGATATCTGAGATACATATATGTGACTATTCGACAAGTGTGATGTACATCTATAAGAAAGAGCCTCAGTGATGGTAGGGATCTGCTATTCAAGAAAAGATCTATATATAAGGAGACAAAAGTAAATGATTGAGTAGTTGAATTCAAATTTCAGGTGAGACATTATTGTATTATTTGTCACAATTCGATCAAAATTTCTTATCTCTTTCACTTTTTATTATTGATTATATATCATCTATTTTCTCATCATTATTACTAGAAAATATCTAATATGCTTATTAGCGTAAATATTGACACATTATCGAAATATTAAAGTGATCGAATACTTGTAAAATTGTCTGTTATTTTCTAATAGTTACAATGTGAAAATATCGATACGATTTGACTAATATTGGTAGCACTTTTTTATTGTTTCTAAAGAAGAATTCAGTAATAAATTATATGGCTCGGTAGGTGAAGATGATTTGGAAAAAGATAAATGGCTGTAAACTTGCTCGAAACCGATACTATTCGCTTACTTAAATAAAGCCACATAACAAGGCATCTTTTTGAGAATTTGTCAACATCTTTTCATATAGATGGATAATGGTAGAGTACAAGCTTTAATAGGTTGGAGAATACGTTTTTTCATGGAGATTTACTTCATGCTCATTCTCATAGACGATGGTTCGTTTGTCTAGATTATCAATAGATTCTTATACATCAAAATAATAGATCAAATATAATCAATGAAAAGCATTGAAATCGAACATGAAGATAATTGATTTTGAAATAAATGATCTCAATTGTTTTTAATACATATAGTTAACTCACTCAAAACTAGACTTTTCGAACTTGTAGATATTCGTAGAACATGTTTTTTTTGATTACTTATTGTGCAAAAATATGTTCTGACATTGATAAGTATTCGAAAAAAAATTGTCCTGACAAGATCGAATATAGATGTTGGATAAAAAAGACTAGGTGGTAATAAAAATGGTTTCAAAAAAATTAGAATAGAAACATATATATGTTTATTCTTCGTTATCTAATTGATGCAAAAAAATCACTTTAACATTCCGATGAATAATCGATTAATACATTTTTATTCAGTATATTTTATAATTGCCATGTCAAAAAAAAATGTTTTGCACAACAAATTCTACGCATATTTTATATCCATTAAAATGCTTCCTGCTGTTTTCTTTTTGTAACTATATCCTAAGTGTTTTCGTTTATTTTGACAAAATTCACAAAATAAAATAAAATAGACGATTTTTTTATTGATAGAAAATTGAAAATAGTTTTTCGAAATCATTTATGAATGTGCATTTTTATATAAAGAGTAGGACAAGCATTTTTTCGAGCCCGTAATTAGACAGATTTGAGCCCAAAACGCTTGATTAGAGCCCGGTCGAAATCAATCAGGCTCAAAACAATATTGCTTTCTCTCCTTTGTTTTCTCTAGTATGAAACGAGCCCGATTAAACATTATTTTTAAACTACTATAGTTTACTTAGTGTAAAAAAAAATAAAATAATTTTATAGAACAGAAAAAATACAGAATATAGAGAATTATAAATATTTAATGTTCTAAAGCTGATGTAGCTTTTTTTGGTCAACCACGTCGTTTGCCTAAAGTTTCTAATTTATGTGGATCAGATATAGCATATAAGCCGAAATGAATTGAAGCACCAATTGCGTATTTACAAACATATGTCTTCAAATTTGTTCTGCAACTACACATCATTGGTAATGTAATAAGTCGACCACTATAAAGCTAAATCAGCTTTAAAACATTAAATTATTTATAATTCTCTATATTCTGTATTTTTTCTGTTCTATAAAATTATGTTATTTTTTTTTTACACTAAGTAAACTATAGTAATTTAAAAATAATGTTTAATCGGGCTCGTTTCACACTAGAGAAAACAAAGGAGAGAAAGTAATATTGTTTTGAGCCTGATTGATCTCGATCGGGCTCCAATCAAGCGTTTTGGGCTCAAACCTGTCTAATTACGGGCTCGAAAAAATGCTTGTCCATTTTTTTTCGTCTGTTTCTTTATTATAATTAGTTCTATAATTCAATGCAAGACGTATTACATTTATTTTCTTCCTATATATAGCATATTAGAAAATACAAAAATACAAAAAGAAACAGCAGGCAAGAATTCGATTGCTTCACATTATAATCTCTTCATCATCCTTAACCCAAAAACCAAGGCAAAATAAAAAAATAAAATCGACTCTTGAAATTCTTCTTGACATAAACGTAGACAGAAAGGTGAGACAAAACATATATAGAAAGTATATTCATAACATAACTAAGAGTATTCTGGGTAAGAATTATGTCTTCGGTTTCAAATAAAAATAATAATTCATCTAATACAAATTTGGGATCTACTGATCAACATACATCATCATTATTTATCAATATTCAACAATTACAAACTGGTATTCAAGTACAACATCAACATGAAAAAGAGTCATTAAACGAATTGAATCAACGTTTTCATCATTCTATCGATCGTGTTCGTTTGTTAGAATCACAAAATTTAAAATATCGTACAAAACTTACAGCTATTCGAAAACAACCATTCGATGATAATGATATAAAATCGATTGAACATTTTTCTAATATAAAATCTGAACTTTCAAAGCAATACAATGCAACTATTGACTGTAAATCAGATTTCGAATGGTCTCAACTTCAAATTGGAATCTATCAAAAATGGATTGATATTGAACAACAACAGAAAGGCAAACAATTATCAGAACTTGAACAAGAATTGAAACAAGTTGTATCTAATCTTAATATTCTACATAAATCTTATGCAGAATTAGAACGAACAGCTAAAAATCAGTATGTAGAACGTGATAACCTATTTACCCAATATTTAACATTGACACATAATTGGTGCAATCAAAAAGCAAAACGAAAGAAATACGATCAAAGTATGGAATTATTGAAGAATAATATCGTATTCTATAAAAATTTATCGGCATATATTGCACGGTTTGTATATTCAAATTTGTCTTTATTCTTACAGCTGATGAATATAATTTTATTTAGATATACCGAATCATTACCGACTCAATCGAACGATGAGGTACAATATTGGGCGGGGGAATATGATAAATCTATTAAGAAGATACATCATGATTTTGAATTATTTTATGCAAACATTTATCGTGATTTGACTTCGTATTATGAAATAAAAATGGAAGAAGTACGCAAAGAAGTTGAACAAACAAAACACGAGCAACGTCTTGAAACGGAAGAATTTGTAATAAGTCAACAAGCACTTGAAAAAGAATATGAAAAAGTACAATATAGTTTAACTCATGAAAAAGAAATTTTACACAAATTAGAATCTGTATATTGTACGTAAATTTGAATATTTATTTTTCATTTTGTTTTTTTTTCGTTCTAAAAGCTAAATTAGAAGCAGAATTGAAATCATTAGAAATTCAACATGAAGAGAAACTGGAATTACAAGCGAAAGAAATACATCATTATCAAGAAAGTATAATGACAATCGCTTTCGATATCAATGAAATGCAGTCTAGGTTAGAGCAAAAAAAATATTACGAATGAATTTTGTTCTTCTTCTTCTAGTAAAATTAATTTGGAAACTGAAATTATTATTTATCGATATATATTGAATGCTTTTGAAAATGAAGAACAAGTGACAATTGTCCCGCATAAGTCAACAGTTGCGAATGAAACAATAGGAAAATTCATTGCTAAAGGACGAAAAAAACATTCAATTGGTATTAGTAAGTGTATAGAATCTAAATAAAAATTAAGAAAAGAAGATTATTAATTATTTCTTTGTTGTAGAAGAATGTGCTGCTAATGGTAAATATATTAGTTTGTTAAATTATTCAACAACTGATAATATCGATATTTCGAAATGGATATTGAAACAACGTACTGATTCTGCATCAGAAATTCAATATATAATACCTGATGGTGTTGTACTGAAACAAGGAATAGAATTAAGAATCTATTCAAAACTTGGCAGTGCCAATGCTGATAGATCTTCGAATGAAAATACTCTTTCTCGACTGGTGAATAATAATGTAACTTCATGGGGTATGTAAATAAAAAATCGTATGGAATGAATTTTATTTATTTTTGTTAATATTATTTAGGTGTAGGGAATACGATTGAAATACATCTGTTTAATCAGTATGGTGAAAAGCAAGCATCTTATTTAGAATCGATTGAAGCTCGAGCAACCAATATATAATAAATACTCACAAATGAACTATATTAGCATTTTATTTTTATTTTAGAAAAACTAACTAACAAAATAATTTAGTTTTTAGTATATTGTTTTAGTGATGTAATAATAATAATAAATAAAATAATGGATATTCTAGCGTATGGTGGTTTTCATCAATAGATCATAAAAATAGTATCCTTGTGGAGAAATTAGAAACTATTTCATTATGTACCGATAACATCTGTGAAAGTCTGTATTGAACAGTCCTATATTGCTCTTTTATGATCGATTGAATTGTCAATTTTCTATAAAATATCCAGCAACTATATTTATTAATAAAGATCTTTCTGACTTCTCTCATAAACTTATTCTAGCTTAATACGTTACTTTTGCTTCAAAGAATGTAAAACAAAAACAAATCTTTCTCTTTTAATTATTTGATGTTTACGCAGAGAAAACTGACCAGAAAGTCCAATGGCTAGTAATATCCCAAGATCGATATCTATATATATAATGAAATCAAAGTTGAATCTTACAAAATAATTCTATTATAGTCTCCATCTTAATATTAATTTTCGAATACAAGAAAACTAAAATTTATACAATGTGTTACAATAGAGAAATTTGAAATGCATGATTGAAAAAGTATAAAAGGAACAAAATGCCTTGTTTTTTTACAGAAAAATATACCTTGAACATTGATATGGTTATCTGCAAGAATATAAATGTGACAATTTGATAAGAATTTTATATACACTCTCATCTCCATTCGAAATTGTATTTTTCAACAATTAAATTATAAAGAATATATTCTGTAAAATGATCTTTTAACGATTGCTATACATCATGCTACAATACCTGTTTAGTTAAGACTTTATAATGCATTTAACTATGATTACTTTTCAGATGAATGATACTATAATATTTACTGATCCTATCCTTCACATATGTATTTTTTAAGTAGCGATACTTCTTGTTCGCCTCATTCAAAACATCATTTTAGCTTTGCACCCATAATTATCTCAACAGTTTGTTGATAATGTTTCAATATGAATAGTCTATTGTTTGATGAATTGAATTCTCGCATTTGTGCTTGCTACTAATTATGATGATGTCGATGCAATCATGATATTAATCGAGTATTGATGATGATTCATAAGTGAATAGAAAATATATGTTTTAGTCGAGATAAATCACAGATTATATATACAATAGTGGATCACATATCTTCAAGAAATATGTATCGAATTACTGAGGTACAGTAGTTGAGATAAATCTCAAAAGACCTACTACATGTAACATTATAACACAGACATTGGAAAAAACCAAACTATGTGACGTAGTCAAAAAAAAATCAATAAAGCGGAACGAAAGGGAAGTATAAATATGAATGATACAATGAGTAAATATTATAGTTTCGATATATATATATATATACCAATATATAGAAATTCGTCTAACTATAAGGTATTACTTGGAATATTATTTGCATGCTTCTCATCGTCATCATCATCTTATCAGACTCTATGATTCTAAGGGTGTGACTGAAAAATAGAATGACTCAAATGATTACATCCACCCACAATCGACTTGGAACTTAATTATTATGAATGATATCAATTCTCACTCAATGCAATAAGATTTTCAAACTTAGAATTCAACATTGTTTTATATTATAAACTGAATAAATCCGATTGAACTTTCGATTTAATAACAAAACAAAGAGCAAGAAAATTTAAATCAATGAAAACTGAATTAAAATATATGTCTGAAAGGTAATGCTTGAATTAGTTGTTTATTAAAATTATTTTTGAATGTAATATTATTAGAGGCTGATTTAGTCGGCATCGTCTCTATATTTAGCACTCGAATGTGTTCTATCGAACAGAATCATAATGTTGCATGATCTATTTCTAGTTTTATTTTAATACATCTTTCTTGAACACAATATACAATTCCCATGTAAAAAGTTATATAACTTTTAATGACTTAATGAAACACGATATTACCTTTTTTTCGTTAAATCATACAGTTTTTACATCGGTCGCACTGAGTATTTTACAAAATAGATTCCATACTAATGTCTGAACGTAATTATAAAAGTTGTGATAGATTGATTGTATTTACGCAAAATAGAGACGTTAGATGAATTTTAAAAGAAAAATATTGTATTTTACACACAAAGACACGGTCACAACAAGAAAACGAACAACAATCACATTAGTGCTAAATAAACAGACAGTTAGACAGGAATATAACAAATAGAAGTTTATTTTTCGTTAAATAATACTCTCTTCTTCAATTCCATCACTTGACTGGATATCACCAGATACTTTTGGAACCAATATTTTTGGTAAATCAATAACCGGTATTCTATCAAAATAAACGCTACTTTCAGTTATAGTAGTGACATTTTCTATAGTTTCTATGACTTCATTAGATGACGTTCCTAGATAATGAAATGGAAACACTATTTTATTGTATCGATGAAAATATATTTCAGCTATACCTGTTGTAATTGTTTGTTCATGAACTAGATTTTCTCCACTTGAAAGACTATTATCTTGGACATTAGTATGTATATCATCATTTACTAATAAAACTGCACCTAAATATATGATATCTTTTTAATCAAACAAGAAAGAAAAAATAGAGATTAGTAAATAAACCTGTTTGTAGATCATCATCAGATATTTCATCTTCATCATCGCTATCAAAACCACTTTGACAGCTACTCGTACACTCTAAATTGATAATATTCTAAGTATATATAGAAATACCAAATGATAAAAATCTACCATCATCACTGCTATTATCAGAACTTATGTTATCTTGAGATTGGACTGAACGGACAGGATTGATATTACCTTTCAAATATTTAGTTAATTTTATCAAATTCTGTTAATAAAATAATATTTATCTTACATGTTGGATTATCAATAGCATCTTGAGATACAGTATCTTCATCAGCTATATCATGACCAATGGGAGCTAAACATTTATAAGAAATAGAAATTAGTGACAAATATTCAAAATACATACCATTTTGTATATCTAGAGGAATAAAGTTACCATTTTCGTTATTTAAAACAGGCTGTATATATGGAACATCATTTAAATTAACATGTATATTGTGTTCATCTGCATTTATGAATTCAGCATCAATTACTTCAACAACTAGGATGAGAACCATGAACATAGAATGAATAAACGATTTATTGCAAACTTCTTACTCGTAGTAGCTAAAGAAAATGTCACAGGTTCATCCGTTGGATCTATAACATAGAATAAAAACATTCAATCATTGACCAACTCATAGTCATAAAATACTACTTACGAGCACTACGACCTTCTGCTTCTGCATCTCGATATACTAGCGTATCATCTGGAATAAAAAATAAAGAGTGTGAAAATTAGACAACAAAGACTCTTACAAGGATAAGGTAATTCTGAGTATCCTGGTTGAGTTTCATGAGATTCTATATCATATTGTTTCTCGTATGTTCCAAATAAATGAGTAATAATATAGTTTTTTGAGAATATTAATAAATGCAAAAACTGATTGATATATCGATGAAAGAAGATAAATATCCACAAAAAAAGAGATATTATTATTTCTTTAAAATAATTTCGTGGATAGACAATAAGTGTATTGATTTGTTGATCTAAAACATCAATAATTAAGAAATGAATGTATTTTTTCGATAAAGTAATACCTGTTATACCATGCGGATCAATATTTATTTCATCTGTAACAATTTGTGACAGGGCTATGCATATGAAAAAAAAGATTAAATTGAAAGATTTTTTAGTATACATGTATTAATTCTTACCAATTGATTGTTCATCATTTGTTACCGTTGAATTATATTCATTTTCTACACCTTAGAATTAAGTTAAATAATAAAAGTCGATATTACGTGAATTTGTTATATTTACCTAATTGTTGATTTTCATTATCATTATTTGGTAAGTTACGTTCATCTGACATTTTGGGATCAAAACTATCAGATGTTTATAATATCACAATGAACTAGAATATTAGTTGAGCAAATAGAAACGATGTTCGAAGTAAGGTTACAATCTATAAACAATAAAAACAATGTGAATATTTTCTAGTTCTACACCCTTGTAGACAGAAACCATCCATAGATGTTCGATTTGAATGCATGTAAACATACTCTGTCTTCAAAGTGTTAATGATTATTATACATTTTCAATCACGCTTCGATATTTGTTTATAGACATTTCAAATTTTTCTTCAATAATAGTGATTCGTATGACAGAAATACGTTATATATGTCGCGCTCATTGTTAAAATTCAAGGTTATTTAATATATTACTTATGTCTTATTTTTGCTTTTTTATGATCGTAGGACGGTAATCTGTATTTGTTTAACGATAACTTTTACAAGAGAATTCAGACATAAAACAATGGAAGAAAAGAAAAATCTTGGTAGTCAAGTAATCGTACTGTATGTCATACTTCTACGCACTTTTATATAGGTGAGTAATATGTATATTTTACTATAACTATAAGGCACATTGAGAAATATGATCATATTCATACACAGAGCATATACACTTACAATAACATGTACTAATCAGATATAGATTAAAAGAATTTCGTCATGATAAATATCAATAGTGATGTATCGGTGAATCAAATAATAGTGATCGTTACAAGCATTGAACAACTTCATGTTTGCACATTGACCTTACATGCTATACTCTAACGATTCGTACAGATTATAGAAAAGAAATACATGAATGTGAAGAACTTGTAATTTTTTTGTGGAACCCATTTTATCTTCATAAAATTTGAAAAAGCTGTATTTCAAAAGGTACTGTGAGCTATACAGCTAGAGTTAGTTTTCGATCTTAAAAATAATTATATAGACAAATATAAAATATTTTATATAATAATATTTATCTGCATCAATGTGTCGAAGTATTGTAATAATTTTAAATAAAATGGTAATATTCGATTTTTATTATTTCTTATTGTATAAAGTAATCATTTCACATCGTATTATCCTGTAGCTTTTAAAAAATACACTAGGTACACTATTCTATCATATTCTAAACTTTTTTTTCTGTCCGCATTTAGAAGTCATATTCGATAAATATTTGCTCGTACGTCAGAATTTGGAGATACTTTCGACAATTTCTACTAACTATGCACATTTTAACAACCTTAATAATAAAGATGTCCATGTGGTTAAACAAGATCTGCGTCATAAGCTACTGTCGAAGCCTGAAAAGTACTGAATATAAAAGAGAATGGATTAACTGATTAAGACTTATGTGTTTACTGAGATTATTAGTATTGATACGGGTATCGTTAATAAACAACATCTGCTTCATTTAATGAAATTAAATATTGAAAAAATGAGACTAAGAACTTCAAGGTGAATAATAAATATTGCTATATATTCTTTTCATATAAAGGGAAAAGAAAGCAATCTAGATTAAAATTGTTCCTATAAAATGTCATTACTGTAACTATTAAATGAAAGAACGGTGAGATACTTAAATATTTTATGTCCTTGAGTATTTCATATATGGTAGCATATCATGGTTACATTTGTAAAACCTTGACAGTTGAATGAAAAAAAGAAAAGAAAAGAAAAGAGTCGTAAGAACGGAATGTTTTGTGAGTCATAATTTGAAATAAAAAGAGGCTATATTCTATACCTACAATTCCACCAGATAGTACATACATTTTAACTATTTACAATATAAACGACTTTCAATAAACAATGAATAAAATAAAACATACAAATATATATATATATCGTATGAAATTTGTATTTTTATACGTTAAGAACATCAGTTTGACTAGAGTCATACAAAATCCAAGAATAAAATTTATCGAAATTAAGATGAAAGTCTATAGGAATATCTATTATTTCTGACAAATAAACTTTCTCATTTGATGTCTTATTTGTAATATATCTTCAGATGTTATGGAATAATTTGTTTTGTATTAAAAACCTTTTTCGGTGTATAAGATCTATTCAAAATATATTATGATATATGCTGATAATGTACAACTATCTGTATCATAGATAACACTAATTGTTCTTATAATATAACTAACCTGAAATACTAAATACACTTTTGAATAAAATGTAAAGTATCAATTTTTTGAGTGATGAATGTGATGGCCTGAAAATGTAAGTGTTCGAAATATAAAAAATAAGTCTATTAAGAAATTTCTTTAATTTATATAGCTGTGTTTCTTCTGTTATCATTCATGTTGATACTTATTCCTTGTGGTTACTCTCTTTTCTGATTCGTTTGGCGTTGTTTTCATCTGTCCTCA